GGATTTATTCGACTTGACAATTAACCATGCTTTAAAATCTATTAGAAATGATTACGGGTATATGTTTGCTTGTGTTTCGAAAATAAATTGTATATTTGGTTAGGTTCGAGTCCTGGTATTAAAAAAAGGGTACAAAAACAAAAGAAAAAATAAAGATGATCATCAATTTGTATGAATTGAGCGGTCATCAATTCGTGACACAATTCTGGCTCACAGGAAAAAGAAGAAGAGCTTTTCTTCTCTAATGCAGCTCTGGCTATATCATGCTTAGTAGCTCTTATCTGTTGATTTCACTTCAAGGCTCCTCCGTGTTTTTTTCTAATTTTTTTATCTGTCTCATGTGCAGAACATATCTTCAAAGAACTCATCTCAAAAATCCATTTAATACAATAACTAAAAGATTCTGGAAAGCTTTAAGAAAAGTAAATGGGCCTAAACACACAAAAAACGGGAAGGTAATTTTGCTTTGCAGCCATTTTATGTACTTTCACTTTATCTAGAACATTATAAAAACAAAAAAAAAACAAATTCAAACCATTAAGTAAGAAGATAATTTTCCGGGCCAAAGCAAATATGACCGATTCTTTCAATATTTGAAGACAAAGAAACATAACAAAATCCTAAAAAGTAAAAACTGAAGAAAATAAGAGAAGAACCAATTTGAAATAAATAATTACCAAAAACTCGATCTCTTGTGGCCTCTTATACAACACATATAAGAAGAATACTAAAATCCAGTAAACAAAATGTGGCTTTTAATTGCTTTTTTGCTAATATTAAAGACAACAAAAATGAATTATAATTCTAGTTCTTCCGATCATCTAGAAACTTTCTTCTATCAACAATGGAATACAAACATAAAAGCAAATTGGACATGCACTATAAACCCTAAAACAGTCAAAATAAGGATAAAACAAATTAAAGAGACAAAACCATGAAGAGAAAAACTTCACGTTGGTATGCAACACAATACCAAAAAGCAAGACCAAGATGTTAATAGACACAGCTAAATAAACAATTCCAAGACGAAAACATAAAATTGAGAGACCCAACTATTATCCAAATTCT